GCATATATATTGAAATGATGTTGGCCTGAGCAACACCAAAAGTACATATTTATATTTGTTACTGAAAATAATTTGATTTAAATTTATGGTGTTTTGCTTAAGAGAAACTGAAATTGAATTCTAGAGGAAGTCTGAACATTACCTGTCTGGTGCTTCTCCAGATTGAGACCAAACCCTAATGGATGAAGTGATTAGTTCTCACGTACGGCTCAGTTAAGCCCGATTAAGTGTCCCGACGTTAGTGCTCCTAACTGTCTGTGAGCTCTTTGTTCATCATGAACAGGGCACAGGTTGAATCTCTCGTGTGCAATCTGAGCTGAAGATAAAGCGAATGCATGTTCAGTGTCTTGGATGATCACATGGTGTTAAATTATAAAGCAGCTATAATCCATGTGATTTGTATTTCCCCCCCCTCAGGATGATGTCACTATGGAAACACAGGTGCAGTGATGTGGTGTGATGTTTGGCACTTGACGTTGAAGTGTTGTTTTTCCTCTCTAACACTTAAACGGGCTGTGAAATGTGTGACTGTTAGAGTTGATGGCAGGATGAGGTGGGTCTGTCACACGCAGAGTTACTTCACTTTTATAGAGGGGTTGAATTACGACCTCCTGTTAATCGCTGTGTGATTGTGTGTGTGTGTTTATAAGCACATCTTGTAGTAAGTGCATCTTCTCCTGTGAGGCATGTGTGTGTCGTTCTCCTCTTCAGGGGAATTCTGTGCATGGCAGGTGAAATTAAAGCTTGTTTACACATGAAAAGAAACGGAGAGAAAACTCTACACTTGATCTGACGCTTTCTTTTTTCACTGAAAAAACCTGAGGAATGTGAAAGCAGGGACGTTAAAATAAGAAATGGAGCAGAGTAAAAGCTTCACTTCATTCACTTGTGATAATTTCAGTTTTCTTGCACCTGCAACATGTTAAAACAAATTAAATTCAGACAAAAATCCTCCATTTTCAAATGTCTTCCTCTGGTGACCCTCTGTTTTCTGTCTCCTCCGTACACACAGGAGGAGGAGGCTCTCCGTGGTCAGGTGAAGGACCTGGAGGAGAAGCTGGAGACGCTGAAGATGAAGAGGACGGAGGACAAAGCCAAGCTGAAGGAGCTGGAGAAGCACAAGATCCAGCTGGAGCAGCTGCAGGAGTGGAAGACCAAGATGCAGGAGCAGCAGGCCGAGCTGCAGAAACACCTCAAAGAGGCCAAGAGGGTAAGAAGCTGCAGATGGATGAGCGATGAATATGAAAGTAAACAGCAGGAGAATAATTATATTTCCACCTCAAAATGAAGAATCAACTCAATTTACATTTCACAGACTGTCTCAAAATTGAATTTGTTTCTGCAGGAGGCTAAAGAGGCGCTGGAGGCCAAGGAGCGGTATGTGGAGGAGATGTCAGACACTGCGGATGCGATCGAGATGGCCACGCTGGATAAGGAGATGGCTGAAGAGCGAGCTGAGTCACTGCAGCTGGAGGTCGACTCTCTCAAGGAGAAAGTGGACGAGCTCACCATGGACCTGGAGATCCTCAAACACGAGATCGAGGAGAAAGGTACTGAAGAGAATGTAACGTTGTTAAACGTTGTGTCATAGCTATGGAAATGAAAGGTCAGGAAGAAACAGAAACATTGAACACAGACAAAGTCAATGTCGGTGCAAGTGTGAGACCTTCTGTCTTTCTCTCAGGTTCAGATGGGGCTGCCTCCAGTTACCACGTGAAGCAGCTGGAGGAGCAGAACGGCAGACTGAAGGAAGCACTGGTCAGGTGGGTTTCAGCAAAGCTCCTGAACTAGACTTGAATCCTCCACTTCTCCACCTGTGCCACACACACACACGTCCTGCTGTCACCAACGGTGTCTCTAATTCTTTGACTCAGGATGCGAGACCTGTCGTCATCGGAGAAGCAGGAACATGTGAAGTTGCAGAAGCAGATGGAGAAGAAGAATGTGGAGCTGGACTCTCTGAGGAGCCAGAAAGAGAAACTGCAGGAGGAGATGACAGTGGCAGAGAGGACCATCGACGAGCTGAAAGAACAGGTCGGCGTCCCCAGTGTTTGATCGCACAGACAGCTGCCTCAGTGGTGCCGCAGCTTTGCACTGACATAAATGATCTCCCAGAATCCAGCGCTTCTGGTTGTGTCTTACTCTCCTGATGCTGCTTCTGATTCAGGTGGATGCAGCCCTGGGAGCAGAGGAGATGGTGGAGACTCTGACGGAGAGAAACTTGGACCTGGAGGAGAAAGTCAGGGAGCTGAGAGAGACGGTCACCGACCTGGTGAGTCTGAAGAGCCACACCTTCTTCCTGTGTGTATTCACAGGATGTGGTCAAACATAATCAAAGCCACTGTTTGCTGACTCACTTCATTATTGATATGGACCCGAGTCATTGATATGCATGTACTGCCGTCTATCGTTGTTCCCACTGCTTAATTATTGAGTTGACCTTGATCAGAACACCTGAGTCACAGTAGAAACTGCTCCATCATTGTTTCAAGCAAAAGTAATAAAACAAGTAATAATTCAAAACTTTGATGCATAAAGTTTTTGTTAATGGATAGAAAGAAATATTTTTAATAATTTTTAGATATTTCACCATATAGACTTAATAAAAATGGATGTAGACTCTGCATCAGGAAAAGTGAAGCCGCAGTGGAAGTGCCTGAAACCTGTACTCTCTATAATGACCAGTAGAGGGCGACTCCACTGTTATTAAAAGAAAGTTTCTATAGAAGTCAAGGAACAAAATGTCTAAACTTGTTTGTGGTCTCTAGTTTCAAGTCTTCGATACAGCACGATTTGTTTTTGTTAATTCTGGTCCCATAAGTAGATGCAGCATGTATAACCTTCATGAAGGAGGACTGTTGTATTGGACTGCATTCAAGGTGTTCCTAATAAACTGACAACTGAGTGTAGGATGAGCAAAGACTGAAGCAGGGCCACTCACAGAAACCAGGTTATCTCTGGAGGTAACAGGTTTGATTTGCCAAACTCCGACCTTTTCTCTGAGCAAAGCTCATCAAACGATTTCCGTCATGTGGTGACCGTGTGCGTTGGTCGTGTCCGTCCCACAGGAATCCATCAACGAGATGAACGACGAGCTGCAGGAGAACGCCAGAGAGACGGAGCTGGAGCTGAGGGAGATGTTGGACCTGGGAGCAACGAGAGTCCGAGAGTCTGAAAAACGCGTCGAAGCCGCTCAAGAGACTGTCGCAGATTATCAGCAAACCATCAAGAAGTACCGCGAGCTCACCGCTCACCTTCAGGTACAGGAGGGAATCACACAGTTCTATCCCACATGGTTTTACTGGACGCTCTCTCCTTATTCTGCCTTTTGTTTTTCGCTGCAGGAGGTGAACAGAGAGCTGACCAGCCAGCAGGAGGCGTCAGCGGAGCTGCAGCAGCAGGCGCCCACAGAGATGTTTGACTTCAAGATTAAGTTTGCGGAGACGAAGGCCTACGCCAAGGTCAGAAACTGTACCAGCTCTCAGGAGTGTGATAACGTGAAAACATAATTCAGTACGCGACTGAATGTCCTTTCTGCTCATGTGGCTGCGAGGAGGCACAGATAAAAGTGACACCCAGTGTGAGCTGTGAGTTTCTTCTCTCCGTGTCCAGGCCATCGAGATGGAGCTGAGGAAGACGGAGGTGGGTCAGGCCAACAGACACGTTTCTCTGCTGACCTCCTTCATGCCCGAGTCCTTCCTTCGCCACGGTGGAGACCACGACTGCATCCTGGTGCTGCTGCTCATCCCCCGGCTCATCTGCAAGGTAAACGCCTCCGTGAGCAGGAACGAACAAACGAAGCCAGAGGGACGACAGATTGTTTCTGGTCAGTTTTGTGTTTTCACGTAGTTTAAGTGTCTGTTGTCACTTTGTGGTTCGTGTGTTCAGGCCGAGCTGATCAGTAAACAGGCCCAGGAGAAGTTTGACCTGAATGAAAACTGTGTGGAGCGGGTCGGACTGAAAGGAGCTGTCGGGGAGCAGCTGAGCTTCGCCGGTGGTTTGGTTTACTCGCTCAGTCTGCTGCAGGCCACGCTGCACAAATACGAGCAGTGAGTTTCAACACAAACCGTTAATTGAGCACAGACGAACATTGTGTGTTTTGTGTTTGCATTAAAAGTTGTAATTGTGTTCTTAGTGTTTAAACAATGTTTGTCTATATTTACTTATGTTTTATTGAATTCATCCAAATAGTTTACATTGTTTTTCTGTGTGTGTGTGTGTGTGTGTGTGTGTGTGT